CCGGACAGCCGTTGAAAAACAAAGCCTGTTTAGCAATGCCCTGGTTTCGCCTGCGAGAACCTGGGCTGCCTAGCGATCAAATCTTGCTTGGCGCTCCATGTGTGCTGCAGGAGTGAATCAGCTGTGCTAGCCACATCCATGGAGCCATGATCCCCTTTGCCCCTAACTCCAACTCTACAGCTGCTATCATAAGCCATGGCTTCCAGCTACGCGAGCCCCGAACGCTGAAGAAGCTCCGCTTTGGCATTCTATCACCCTGTCTTGCGGACCCGTCTCTGAACACCCCTGTACGCGAACCCAACCTAAAACCCCAAAACCCCTAACTAAACTCTAGAATCCGAAACCCTAAAATTAAAACCCAAACCCGAAACGCTCACAGCCCCGAGATCCCTAATGCACCCAAAAAACCTATAACAAAGCCCTCACCGCCTGTTACACAACACTTCCCCCACCTAGACAGAACGCTTGTAGGAACCCTTCCAAGGAATATCCCGAACCCTAACTGGAGGTTCATGGGTATCTGTAAGTAAGGTTATAAGTAAGATAACTATCAGTACAACCCATACTTAGGGGACTTATCTCCCTACTTATATCCTAAACCGTAAACCCTAAACCCGACAGAAGCCTTAAAGGAACCCTACTTATCATTATAACTTCCCCTAAACCCGACAGAACCCATTAAAGGAACCCTACTTTTTATTATAACTTCCCAAAAAGAACCCCTATAAACCCCTAAAGCCCTAAGCCCCTAAACCCTAAACCCTCAGCCCTAAAAGCCTCTAAGCAGCACTTCCCTCAGCTCCCAAGCGAGAGACTCCTGAGCTGCCTTCCCCTGCTCTTCTACCCGGGCATAGCTCTCCGGATCTCGCTCCTTTTGGGGGCGTTCTCTAAGGGTTTGGGGGGTTTAGGGTTAGGGGTTCAGGGTTTAGGGTTGTACATTCACTTTACGTAAGGGCCCTACAAAAGTTCTACAACGGCTCTGGGCCTGGTGGCCTTGCGTAATTTTGGGGCGGAGGCAGTGCGCTCAGAAGCGGGCTCAAGGCCCCGAGCCATGAGCTGAAATTCAGAGCTGAAATCGGTGAAAATAACCGTAAACCCAAAGCCCTCGCACCCTGGATCCCTTGCACAACCCCCTTTCTCCCGCCCAGTAAGCCTCTTGCATGACCCCTCAAACCTAATTCTAAACCCCGATAGCGATGCTGGACCCTGGCCTTCAGGTAACTTCTCGAGAAGCCCAAGTAGGGCGCTGAGCTGGACCGGCGAGCCTCCGCGTCTTAGGGGGGGTTAGCTTTGAGGGGCTTCCCACTTTGGGCTTCCATACGTAGGTCCTCGATGTATATATGTATACGGCTCTTATACGCTTTTTGGGGAAAGGTTTATCAGGTGTTATAGGCTTTTGCATGTGGTATCGAGCTTGATGGGTTAAGTGGTTCTAGGGTTTATGGTTTGGGAGTTAAGTGTGGGTCACAGATGTGTTTAGGGTCTAGTGTGATTGAAGCAAGCATTCCACCTGCTCTCTTGTAGTACCGATAGATAGATCAATAGATAAGTAGATAGGCAGGTAGAAAGATAGATAGGCAGATAGATAGATAGATAGATAGATAGGTAGATAGATAGATAGACAGGCAGACTGCTGGACGGATAGACGAATAGATAGATGGATAGATGGATAGATGGATGGATGGATGGATGGATGGATGGATGGAGAGGTAGGTAGGTTGGTAGATAGATCTGCGGATAGACGGATGGATAGATAGCTAAATAGGTAGATGGTTTCACGGTACTCAGACCCGAAAATGAAGCTCAAACCAGTTCTGAAGCTTCGGAGACCTGGGTTTGCATCTATTCCTGCTCCCTGTCTAACGCCTCCATCAGCTCTAAACGCCGGAGTAGCAACATGGGTTTCTTTTTTTTTCGACACCCCTTTTCCTTCGCCTGCTGGGGTCCAGAATGCCAGGTTGGCTGAGGCTGGGTTCCGGCAAGATGGGGTTTGGGGTTTAGGGATCAGGGGGCTTCCGTGAGGATGTCGACTATCTGGTGCTTTCGCGGTTTTGACCACAGAACATGCAGCAGTGGATCGTACAAGCCACTCGCCAACATATCCGATTGCTGCAGCACGTCGGCCTCGCGCTGCTCCACCGATCGACGGAAGTCCTTTGCTACAGCGGTGCACGCACAAAGAACCCAATGCTGCTCTCAAACCGAAGGGCTTGAAGCTCCATGCTTCGAGATGCCTCACGCCCAATTGACCTGGCTGTTGCACCCTGCAGTCCTTTCGGAGCTCCGCCAGCTCGTCGGCAGCGCTGGTGGCAGCACTGGCAGCGCCGCTGCAGGCAGTGGCGGCCAGAATCTGGGTGGGGAGATGCGAGGTTCTACCACGGGCCATCGGGCTTATCGGATTCTGTACAGGTTCTAGAAGGTTTTGATTGTTGGGGGATTTCATGGGTTCTCAGAAGTGCTGAATGCTTTTGCTTTCAAGGTGATTTTGGCTGTAAGATTGCTCAAGCTATCAAACTTCCCGTTGAGCTACAAAAAAACCTGCAACTCTTCGTCCTGCACTTCGTTTGGCCCCATCTCCCCTCAACCGCGTGACTGACCGCCAGTTTGTCAATGGTGGCTCGCTGTGGTTGCCTGACGTGGAGTCCTATCTGAGCCCTCCAGAAACTGCGGGCATGTAGGTTCCGATTTGGACGACCCCGCCGCCTGTAAGCACGTAGAACTTGCAGGCTGTGAAAACCGGAGCTGCGCTTGCCTCTACCCGCACATTCCATCGATTTGAAGCAGGGTCTTTAAACGCCTGGAGTCCTGGTACTCGGCAAGCTTGGGCCTCAAATTGAACTAAGCATCGGGCCACGCTTCGCAGGGCTGTGCTGGCAGCAACGCGACTCATTGTCGGCGTCTGGCCGGGGATGCTTGACGCTCCCAAAGCACTGCAGCTTCCCATGCTTCCCAAAATCCCGCTCGTCTCCTTCTGGAGAAACCATCCTTGAATATAGTATAGTATAGTATAGTATAGTATATTAATTATACCCGTTCAAAGCCTCAGTCCTGAACTCCTGGAGCAACAACGGTACAAACCGCCCCGGCCCCGTCCTGCGGCGGGTCCTCGGGAGCCAGCAGCATGGGCATCGGCGACAGCCTCCTGCAAAGCGGGGTGCCGATCGCAGCGTAGCGAAGGCATCAAGAGCAAAGCTCGGGCTGAGGGGCGATGCAGAACGGTTTAGGGTTTAGGGTCTTGGCAAAGTGGGGTCTGGGATGCTGTGCGCACGGAAGCTTAATCAGAAAAGACCTTCACAGCTGTCTGAAGGCTTCTGCTACGTCGCCTGCCAAGTTGGGCTCGGGTAGCCCGGCACGTCCATCAGGCGTCCGACGGCTGTTGCTTGTGGACTTAGAGTTTAGGGTTTTAGGTTCGGGGCTTAGCCACACACCGTTGCGGTCGCTTCAGCTTCTCTTGCCGGGACATGTAATGATGGTGGTCTCATCGCCTTTGTTCAGCTGTGTTCCTGCTCAGCTACAACAACTGCAATTGCCATATCGTGTCACCCGGTCCCTTGCTGCCTGTTGTCCTGCGGACTCCATTTCCACATATGTGGAAACTACCGAACGAAGCTTTGCTGGTCTTCCTTGGGCAATTCGTGCAGACCGGGAATGAGAGCTCCGCTTTTCAGCCTCCGCGAGGTTGAAACCAGCGTTTATGCTGGTTTATGGACCCTAGTGACCCTAGCGCCTAAACCCGAAACCCAACCAAACGTGCAGGTTTGGGGCTACGCCCCCCAAAGAGGCCTAGGTTTGGGGCTCGCCAAATTTCCGCCCTTGTTGGCTCAATAAGGGATCTGCACAACGACGATCCTACCGTTTCTTGCGGAAACTCCCAGATAGCGAGCCCGAAGCGCAGCGAAAGCACGCATGGATTGGTCCTAGGTCCTATAGACCCCCCCCCCCCAAGCCTTCAACCACAAGATCAAAAGCGGTGATGGCTAGGCAGTCCAGTCATCATTGGTTCTTCTCCGATCAGCCTCTTTAGACTCTACTGGAAACGAGTCAAGAGTGCAGATCCGCTTTCTGCTTGCTGTGTCTGACGACTGCGGGCCGTCGCTGCCCTCACTTTTTCTTGTTGTCTGACCTGATCAACGTAAACAACTTGAAGGAAGTTTATTTACAACGGGAGCTCTTGCGTGAGAGTGAGAGTCTCCTCTATCAGGCGTCTGTAAGTGACGATACTGCCAAGACTTGCTCGTTTGCAAGTTCTTCAGCTCAATAACATTCGGCAGACAGTGCTAATGAGCTTCCGTTAAACCCTAAACCCTAAACCCTAAACCGAGTCATGAGGCGCAGGCGGCAGCGAGGCTTTCACCCCTCGGACCCTTGTTTTGTCACGGCGCGGTCTGACCTGTGCAGAAATCTGCGAAGACCACTCATGGGTCCGCAAGCAGAGCTTGCTGTGCCTGTCGAGGGAAACAGAGGAGGAGCTCCGCTGCGATTCTGCCTTCTGAAGTGTTTCGTGTTTGCTCAACACGCGAATCACCCCCTCAGCTGGGTTTGGACCAAGACTGTGACAATGCTTCCATCCCAAGATGGAGACTGTCGATGGGAGTCCAGTTAGTCGTGTAACTCGAGGGTTGAAAGGAGTATGAGTACACTCGGGATGGCACTATGATGCACCAGCATGAGCCTTTTGCTCATGATATGTGAATCTTGGCCACACAACCGGGTAGAAAATTCGTTGTGCATATATTCGCTTGCTGCCTTGAACTGGCAAAACTAGTTTTAGCTAAGAGCAGTTCCAGGCAGCGGGTTTGGCAGAAGGAAAGTGGAGCGTGTAGTGGGCGTACTTCAAGGATGGCTTGGCTTGAGGTCGGATCAGACTAGAACTGGAAATACTTGGCAATGTAATTAGTCATGAGTTGTCAGAAAGGAGTAAGTCAAAAAGTGGCTCCTGCGTCTGCCCTGGCTTTCGACCAGCACTGCACTAGCTGTGCTGGATGTACGTGCAAGCCAGATCAAGCGAGAAAAAGCAGGAAACCCATCGCCGCGAGGCCGAGGCTCGAGGCTGGTGCCGAGGACACTGGCCCTGTGCTCACAGTGGTGCCTGTGCCGCCTGTCGTGGTCGTGACCGTGGTGGCAGGCCCCTGATCCAAGGCCGCAGCGACCCCGAAATCCACGGTGTCGTAGCCTGAGCCGATGGCCGTGAAGGACACCACAACATTGTCCAACGCAGCCAGCCGACGGCCTCCGTCTGTGAGATTCTGGAGACCACACCGGAAGGACGTCGTCGTGCCGGAAGGAGTGCACTCGGATACACAGAGCGGCTCTGGAGACGACTCCTCATCAAAGATCTCGTATTCACCACTCCTTCGCATGGCGCTTGCCGCATAAATCTCAATCTGCCCACAGTCTTCCCCAGACCCAGCCGTCTCTTCTGTCACGGGTGTGACGTTAGAGTTCAGCCCATCCACTACGTCATCGAAGCTCGCCCCAGTGAGGTTCGCAAAGCTTTGGTTCATGCTGTCCTGAACCAGCTGCGGCCGGCGGTCATGTCTCGTGGGCACGGCGCTGACATTGAGCTCAAAGGACAAGTTCTCCACGTTGGGAGGGAGGGTCACCGACACAACCTTGCGGTAGGTTGCATTCCTGCTAGAGTTTGAGCTGTTTGCTGACAGGACCGATGGGTCCACTGCAACTCCAGAGACCTCACGGAACTGGCGGTAGTAAATGAAGGAGTAATAATTGCAAGACTCCTCAGACTCACCGCAGCCACGCGTTGGCACCACCCAGTCTGTGTTGCCTGGCGCCTCAAAGCTGTTTCGCGTCAAGGACGCCTGAATCGTCATGCCTGGATTCCAGTAGTCGAAATACTCCTGACGCACAATGCGACAGCGGCCCTCCACGATTTGCCAAGCGACACAGGGGTTCTTGGGAGTGCCAGCGTCATCCATCTCCACAACACCACCCACACTCGGGAGCCAGCTCATGGAACGGCACATCTCGCAACACTCCTCTGCATCATTGATGGTGTTGAATTTGAGGGTCACGTTGCAGTCCTGTGAGAACCCTGTCTCATTGGGATCCCCTTCCGGGCACTCGTGGTTTGGCAGCTCATGCCCATCAGGAAGCTCACCGCCAGGAAGGTTCGTGCCAGAGGTCAGCTCATGCAGGCGAGTGAAGCCTCCATCCACGACGCAGCGACCACCCGTGTGGAGGTTGGCAGCATCTGCTGCCCCGGCGGCATGGCGGTAGTAGAACTGCTCTCCTGAGCCACAGCGCGTGTCCTGGTACTTCACGGATCGCCCTGACGAGCTATCCATGTTAGCATAGATAATCTTCTCGCGGTCTACACGACAGGTCGAGCCAATTCGCTGAAAGAAGAGGGCGGCTCCGCCATCTTCCCAGGAGCTGTTTTCGAAAGACATCGCCTTCAAACAGCACTCCAAGTCAGTGGAAACGGTGAAGACTTCAGTGGCTGGCGTAGGGGAACCGCTGTAGCCTGGGTAGACATTTCCATAGGTGGATCCCCAGCCACATGCCAAATCTCCATTGGCCTTCAGCCACTTGCCTGCGTTGTTGTTGGCCGTACCATTGCAGGGAGGTCGGTTCTCCTCGGCTGTGCCACAAGTCCACGGATCTTCCGCCTGGACGACATCAAGACCTGCACATGCGGAGGCTGCATCAGACGTGTCCGGCAAGGAGCCCTCGAATGCCTGATCCACGCAGGTAATCATGTCCCTGCCACACCCATATGCTGGGTAGCATGCTACGCCCAGCTCCAAGTTCTGCTGAGCAGTGCCGACCCCCGATGCCTGCTTTTGGCAAATGGTGCCATCGCCGGGCCCTGCGCCCGCAAAGTAACGCCTGCAGCGCGAGGGGCACCGTACGCTGCCGCCAGGGTTAATGTAGCTCTCGTCCAAGGGGACGGGTAGGCCGACATTCTTCATCTCGTTGCCTTCCGTCTCATTGCTCTCATTGGTGAAGTTGGCATCAGCCTTGGAATAAAGAGACACGAGGTAAAAAGGTAGAATCAAGATGCGGCGAGCCATGGCGCCAACTAGGGAACCCTACGTGGGACCTGATCTCGGCCTCGAATGGCTTCAAACTGCGAGCAAATCTGACTCTCTAAAAGAGAGAGCGGCCGTAAGATCGATGCAGAAGCCGTGAGCAAACTGGATGGAAACTCTAAGCCCAGCACTCGCAGTCAAACCTGCGAACTGCCGCAGCACCTCGCGGCGCATGGTCAACTGTTGAAGATGTAGACGCCGAAGAAACCGTAGTAAAGCCAAACACCGGCGCAGTGATCCTGTACCGGTACATCCCCCAACAAAATGCTCTCCAAAGGCGTTTGCCACGCCTGACAAGTTGGGCTTCGGTGGCCCGGCCCGTCCATGCGGGTTTGTGCGGTTTGTGCGCTAAGGATTTTGGGCATAGCCAGTACGAGTACCATTGGTGCTTCTGATTGGGACATGATACTGGCAGTGGTCTTGTGTGGCCTTGCTCGCATTGTCAGCCGATTCCAGCTGTCTAAAACGGCTCTTGACGGCCCAATCACCTCACACCCAAGAAGCGCTGCCCCTCGGAACGATGGAGCATGACACCTGAGACGGGCAGCGCATGGCAGAGCACGAACATTCCCGTCTTTTGCTCCTCCCTGCTCAATCCATCGCCTTGGGCTTTGTCCGCTAAGCGATGCACGGTCTGGGGCCGGTGGCCTAAGACGAACTTCGTCCGTCTGCACAAGGCGGGGCTTTCCACGCCCTCGATGGTACTCAGAGCCGTGTCAGCGCAGTCAGCTCTGCTGCAGGTCAATGTAAATTCAGCATGGTTGAGAAAGGCAGTCGCTGTTGGTTCGAGCTTCATGCAACTCGAGGTCCTTCTATTCAGCAGCGTGCTGAATTCCACAGCTCTAGGTCTACCCATAAGGCAGCGACAGATGCTGGGCACCGGGTTCGGTCTTTGCCCTGTTCTGGCATATGTAGCTGCCTTTTCCTCACGGTTCACAGTCGAGCTCGCGGCTGACTGTTGGAGCCGGCCAGGATGCAGTGTTTTGCAGTGGGACTACGTGCGGTTGCTGCTTGCGTGGTCGTTAGTACAGCATCGCAGCCAACAACTGGCATGGCAAGTGGTCTCCAAATCCACTGTGACACAGCGGCAAGAGTGCAGCTCTGCTTCCTGCTTACTGTGTCTGGCTGCTGCGGGCCTTCGGTGATCTCACTTCTTCTTGTTGTTGGACCTGATTATCATGAACAACTTGAAGGCTAAAATGGAAGAGGCAAGTATGAAGATCTTGTACACTCTAGAAGCCATGTTGAACCGGCATAGGAGGCTGCTTGTTGGTCTCTTTCGCCGGCGCCGTGGCGGCTTTGCCCTTTTCAGCCGCCTCCATGGACAGACTTTGGCGCCCCCCCCCCCACCGAAAGCAGCACCGACTTCTTATTGCTCTGGCCTTGGAAGCTTTGCCGTTCTTCTTTGAAGTGTCGTCCTGAGAGCCAAGCTCACGACATACTTCTAACAGCCCTTATACAAGGTAAGTACGTCGTCCAAACGAGCGTGGCATTCCGTGCAAGGCGCCGATAACTTCGAGGACTTTCTCCGCAAGCAGCAGCATCCACAACAACACCTCGCCAGAGGCTACGCTCAACATAGGATGATGGCAGACTTTACGGGTCAGAGTCCTTAGATCGATCACAGCTTGGGCATGCTGGGCGCATGGCAGGCAGCAGAGAAGCGTCCAAAAGATCCAGAAGGCCAGGAGTGCCAACTTCACCAAGGCGTACCTCAAGGAGCCCAAAACTGTAGGGGTTTAGGACTTTAGGGCTTTAGGGCTTAGGGTTTAGGGTTTAGGGCTTTAGGGTTTAGGGTAGGGCTCTAGGGCTTTCGGGTCCCCCCTCTGTGTCGGGGTCCCTGTCTTGAAGCTCTGCGGGGGCCCCCGACTAAAAGGGAGGCGCGAAAAGCAAGGACTGAGCTCCGACACTCCGAGAGCCACACACGGCGGCAGCAATGTAGAGCACGAAGAGGACGAGATTCCCCGGAGTCTGCAAGAGGAAGCTCGGGGGGTTTAGGGCTTTAAGGGCTCATGGGTTTAGGGTTTTTGGGGTTTAGGGGTTTAAGGGTTTAGGAGTTTAGGGGTTTAGGGGTTAGGGGTTTAGGGGTTTAGGGGCTTTAGGGTGCTGTGAGGCTGTTGCATCGGGCGCGAACTCACTGAGAAGTTTGGGAAGACTTCTGAGCCCAGCGCCCGCACAATCAGACCTGCGTACTGCGGCAGCGCCTCGGAGTGTGAATTGCACAGTCAAAGGTGGAGATGCTAGATGTTGCGGTATATGGGTAGTTCGTTTAGTGTCCCTTTTAGGGTCCTTATTATAAAGGTGCCATACTATATTGGGGACCTGAAAAGGGACCCCTCATTTAGAGAACTACCCATATACCACTTTCGTCTACGGTACCAAAGTCGCGATAGATAATTGGACATAAACGAACCCTCAAGCGCAAATCACCGCGAGCGTGAAGTGGATGCATTTGCATCAGTGATGGCTAGAGGTGCAAAGTGCAAAGTGGGAGGCTCTGGAAATCAATGTCCGTTTTTGGGGGTTGCGATGTTAAGGATTCCATTCAGGGTCTTCTGCCATTCTCATATCAGGACTGTCACAACTAAGGTCCCTTCTAGGCTGCACATTTTCATATGCTACTCTTTCACCAACTGCTTCGAAGAGAGCCCTATGCTTACGCCCACATTGATTGAAATTATCCCCAACGGCCAGTCCGGAACTGACCCAGAGTCTGCTCGCTGCTAAGTATTTCATGACTTGTGGGGTCGTCCTGGCTTAGCTGCTGATTCTTGGCTGTCGGCTGCTGGCACTCATTGAGTGTACGCTCTCCAAGCATGAAATGCGAGTTGTCTCTGTCTTGGGTGCCGACTGTCTCAAACGTGTCAACGACGAAGTGTGTGTACGTAGTCATCTGCCTCAGGAAGGGTAGCACAACTCTGAAAACCAGATCAAAGCAGCGCAGGTTGTGACTGCTGGGACGATCTAGAACCTAGAAGTGAAGAGAACTCCTCTTTTTCGGAGCTCAGCGAGCGCTGCTGCGGGGGAGCTTCCTTATGCTCGAGCCTAGCTGACCTACCCTTATCCACACCGGCCTTGATCTCATGAGTCAAGAGATTGCACAGAAAGTCGTCTCAAGTCAGGTGTGTGTGAAAACCTGAGAAAATTTGCCCTTTTGGCATAAAATCAGAGAAAGGGCCCCACCTTCACCCAGTCTGCACCTTACAATCTGCTTGCCTGGGTATAAGAAGACTATATCGCAGTGAGGCCCGAGAACTGGAGCAATTGCTATCTACCGCGAAACGTCATGGAGTTAGGCCAGGTTCCACTTGGAAAACGTCCTTCCATCTGTGTGACACCATCTTCACATGCCCTGCATGATCTTGGCCTCAGGGCATTACGAGGTCGGTTTCGGGGTGGCGTGTCTGTCAGTTCCAGCACTGAGAGGCAAGCCCCCATCTTCTGCAGGAGCCTGTCCCCCACCGCCTGCGGCTACAGACCGTGCCTTGGGCCTGCCTCCTTTCCTATGCCATTCCTCCTAATCCAGTCTTCTTCCCCCCCTTTTTGCATGCCCGCAACTGGCACATCTTCGATGCACATGGGTGAAACAACGATTAGACAGGTGAGACTGCATGATGCGGATCGTGTGAAACGGTCGAGTTGAGTTGTTACATCCCCTCTCATGTTCACGTAATGTCCTTTAGGTGTTCGGGCATCACCGAGAACCGCCCATCTCAGATCACGCCGAGTGCCTCAATGACAAGGAAGATGGAAACTACAGCGCACACGTAGACCCTAAACCCTAAACCCAAAGCCCTAAACCCTATAAGCCCTATAAACCCTATACATCCTATACATCCTATAAACCCTATAAACCCTCTAAACTCTCTAAACCCTCTAAACTCTCTAAACCCTATAAATCCTGAACCCGACTCTGCTTATGCGCCTCCAGATCTGGCTGCACATTTTGACCGTCGGCGAGAGATTGATCCAAGCCAGCCTCAGAGCTCGGGGTTTAGGGTTCGGGGTTTAGGATTTAGGGTTTAGGGTTTAGGGTTTGGGGTTTAGGGTTTAGGGTTTGGGGTTTGGGGTTAGGGTTTGGGATTTGGGGGTTTAGGTGGTTAGAATTTCATGATCAGGATTTCGGGCTTTGGTTTCGGGGTTGGGGAGCTGGGAATTATTGGAAGACCTCTGCAATTGGATGGCAATTATGCAACGCAGCGGCTTACATGGCAGCCACCAACGAATCGAGAAATAAAGACGAAAAGTGCGTTGAATGCAGCTGCATATAGATATGCCAGATATACGTGCTTTGAGGATAAACCTGTATTCGCTTCTCCTACTGGCCCTTACATGATTCTTGGGCTCCGGGTTCACGGATTGCACAGGGATCGCGATGCCTTTCAGCCATTCACTACAACTCCTCCGCATTACGGACACCTGGCTTGCAGATGTGCAAATCTCGGCTGGAGACTTTGGCCCTTTCGGACACCGGTACCTCCTCCCTGCTAACCCTATTCCTGTTTTATTTTAATGTATTATCTTGACGTGGGCTGGGCTGGCTGCCCTTCAAACCTCAAGCGGCTTTAAAGGCTCGACCCTGAAAGCGTGGCAGGTAGCAAGGATGCGCAGGCTCTGCAATGTCCGAGCCAGCAGGTCCTGGAAGGCGTGTCTGTGCAGATGGTGCTCAACAACAGCTGATAACTGATCATGATTACCCTAAACCCTATAGTACCCATATAGAACCCCTAAACCCTAAACCCGATCATGATGCTTTGGATTGAGCTAGTGATGTGGCTCAGCTCCTCGGCCTTCAGTTCAGGTGCCGGATAGCCTCAGGCCCGTCGCTTCGCTCTCTCTTTGATGCTGCCCGGAACCGAAGCACTGAAAAGGGCAAGAGGGGGGTGGGGGGTGGCGATCCAAAAACTTGACTCTCTCCATAAGCCAAGAGGCTTGAGAGCTCGTAGCCGTCATCATGCCAAGTCTGTGTCAGCTTGAGGCGAGCACAGAGCTTCGGGAAATCTTCCAGCTGGCTCCTTACTGAACAAACAAATTGAGTGATGTGATCATCAGAACTCAGTTCAGAAGGTGTTTCTGCCGAGATGCAGTTCTGGCAGTTGCATGGCAGCAGTTAGCTGCATACCTTTCCAAATTGACATGCACTGTGTGCTATCTCCAACTGTGACAACGAAAGTTCGGCGAACCGAGTCAAGATGCCAGAACCCAAGTGGAGAGAGTCCACGGTGACATAGCCAAACTTCGCATGGCGAGAGAAGCCTGTCCAATACAGCAACCCCTTTTGCAGCAGTTTGGGCATAGACTGGTGCTGCCAGCCAGCATCGAAGAGGAGTTGACAGCGTGTTGTCCCTTGTTCGAACCTATTCTCTCTGGAAGGAACCTATGCCGTGGCCAAGAAACAACTCCCGCAGACGAACAAAAAGTGCTTGTCCTGCCTTTCAGTTTGCCCCATGCGAGGTCTGGCAGCACCATCTTATATTCGCAGCATGCATCTTCGCAGTCATCAACGCTTCATGGTCATTGCTGCCATCGCCCACCATCGCCATGCTCATCATCATCATCATCACCACTATCAGCAGCAGTGGCGGCTGCAGCAACAGCAGAAACACAAACAGCAAAATCATCATCGGTATCATCAACTCCATCACAACGTGGACTATCAGCGTGATGGACCACAGCTTTAAGACTTGAGAAGGGGATGAGGGTGTAGTAGCCCTCGGGAGACTCGGGCTGCATCTCCAAATCCTCCGAGTTCTGTAGCAAGATGCTCCCGACCGGTACAGCTCACCTGTTTGCAACATCTGAACAATCATCATCATCATCCTCATCATAATCACCCTCACTTGCACCAGCAGATGACGGTGTCAAGCGTGCGAGAACAAGCTGCCAGACTGCATCCCAAGAACCCCTGGAGCAAAGGGAGTTGAGCTCCGTCTCGATGTTGTCGGCCATCCCTGCGTGTCAGTTGCACCCCACGTCACCAGCCACAGCAGAGATTGCAACGGATTTTGTGCAATGCTGATCCCTAATGGAAATGTTGCAGACATGCTGTTGAGCATATCGGTCCAATCCGTTTTTATTGTATATCATGATAACAACAATGCAAAATACAATTAAACCTAACTCAAGACAACATAACACAAAAATAAACATAACATAACATGACATAACATACCATAACATGACATGACATAACATAACATAACGACATGTAATTCTCGGTAAACGACATGATGTATATGTAAATGTATTTGCATACCTGTATCTATGTATCTATGTATGTAGGTATGTATGCATGCATGCAGGTATGTATGTATGTATATATATATACATATGTGTGTGTGTGTTCGTACGTACGTACGTACGTACGTACGTACGTGTGTATGTATGTGTGTATGTGTGTATGCGTGTATGTGTGTATGTGTGTATGTCTGTATATGTCTGTATGTTTGTATGTCTGTATGTATGTACGTATGTATGTATGTATGTATATATGTGTGTATATATGTATATATATGTATATATATATATATATACATATATACGTATATATATGCTAACCCCCGCTCCCCCCCCCCCCAAGAACTACCGNNTATGTATATATGTGTGTATATATGTATATATATGTATATATATATATATATACATATATACGTATATATATGCTAACCCCCGCTCCCCCCCCCCCCAAGAACTACCGCGACGTGCCGCGATAGCGCCACCAATCCTCCTACGTTTAAGCTTCTAGTGTATGATCCAGGTTTAACGACAAGCTTTGAAGTTCCGAGGAGACAGCATATGGCACATGTATATCGGCAGAAGCCTTCATTCTGAATTCTTGCGACCGTTCAAGCGGATACTCCGAAAGATGATTTCTCCAACGATGAAAGTCATTTCTGTCAAGGTAGAGGTCACTGTAGGCTCAAACGAAAGCCACCGCAATTCGTATGAATGATGTTTGGCCTTGACTGACTCCTATTCCTGTTCCTAAACAACAGTATCCACAAAACTAACCCCGCCATTAGACCTTACATTGGCCCCAATGGTAACGTAGTGTTCTATTTCATGTTCACCCAAAAGAGAATCCTTATAGATTCACATCTTAGTTCATATGGATTAAAATGCTATGTCGACTGAACCCCGTTATAGATTCCTTTTTTAACCCCCATATCGACCTGAAGCTTAATATTAACAACATACATCAGCCTGACTGGCCCCCCGATATTAAGGATATTGCAGTCCCCTGGCCGCAACCCTGATACTGGATATGACTCCAAGATGGACCTTACTCGCAAATTTATTGTTACCCATAAACTGTTCCCATTAGCAACCTTCATACTGCACCGGATACTTCCGTCAACAGCAACCCAAATAATGGCTTCAGGAGAACCCGCGGCCATCGGCCTCAGGGTCCCTTGCACGAGCATTCGACAGCAACGAAGTTCTCAACGTCATGGCATCCCTTATACTCTTTGCTGTTAATATGAATACAGGCAAGCTAAATACTTGCCTTACATTTACTTCAAGGTAGCCGTCACATTCATGCACACACTAAACTACACAAAACGGTACCCATCAAGAGCCACGATCCTTGCAGTCTTCGCTCTGGCGTTGCCCAAATGATGGCCCTTAGATTTTTAGGGATGATATACCAGCATGTGTTTGTTTGCCTCATCGTATTGTATATGGCACCCCCTTTCTCATTGTAACATATGATCATTTCGGACGTGCGTATGCACATTTATGCGTGCATATACACATGCTAGCCTGAGGTTAAACCTGCATTAGATTCCAGCATAAGGGCGAGGATCGTTAATTGACTCCTGGTTCCAAACAACATCAACCCTAATCCTATCCTTGTCATTCGCCCTTATATCAATGGTATTCGCTCTGTCAGCAGCCCTAAGGCCATTCATCGTGGGCTTATTACTACCCAAAATGTGACCCGATGTTTCTCTTGTTCAGGTGACAACCTTGTCAGCCAGACGATAACCCTGATATATTGGGTCCTGGTCTGTGTTAAACCTGCAGTACTAGCCCTCTATATACCCCAAAACTGATCCGAATAATGTCCCGGTCATTACTTATTGTATAGTCCAAATACCAAGTGGAACCAAGTGGAATTGAGTCCCAATATTAACTCAAACAACAAATCAATACACACTCTTTGCTAGGAAAAATTTGGCCTTGGAATGAAATAGTAATTTTCCCTAGAAAAAGATGATCTTGGGCCTAAAAACCAACAACTTCCTAGGGAAAACAAAAAGCACCTTTTGGGAAACTATATGGCCAGACTCCAAAAAGATTGTTTCTTGGTTTTCCCTAGGAAAACATTGGTTTTGGGTGGAAAAACCAGATTTTCCCAGGAAGAATTTGGTTTTTCCACGGAAAACAAGCTTTTCCCTCGAGAAAACCAGAGAAACAATCTCTCTGGCATCTGGCCGTATAGTTTGTTCCCCCTTGGTTCTGTTGGTGTTTCTTCCTTGTTCCCTTTGCCACTTCATTCCTAACAAGTATCTGCTTTTTTGTCCAAAACCGTTTTTCTTGGGAAAAATTTGATTTTTCGACCGAAAACCAACTTTTCCTAGAGGAAAACCAAAAAAATCATCTTTTTGGAGGCTGGCCGTCTAGCTTCCCAATTTTTTTGGTTTCCCCTAGGAAAAAAGTGGTTGTTAAGCCCAAAACCATTTTTTCCAGGAAAGAACCGGTTTGTGGCCCCAAACCATCTTCTTCCTAAGAAAAAATTTGCTTTCCAACGAAAACCAACTTTTTCCTAGGAAAAGCCTTTTTGGAGTCTGGCCATATAGTTTCCCAAGAAGTGGTTTTGGGGTTTTTTGGTTTGCCCTAGGAAAAAGTTGGTTTTTGATTGGAAGAGTACAGTGCTGCCGTCAAGTGCGCGCTCACATCGAACCTAAACGATTTGCTCGGCGGTTGGTTTTTGTTCGGAGAGGTACAGTGTTGCCGTTGAGTGTGTGCTCACGTCGAACCTGAACGAGTTGCCTGGCGCGTTCTCTTGAAATGTGAGTGTGGTTTTGGCAGTCTTTCAGAGATACGGAATCCGGACCTGCCGGAAGAGCTGGATTCACACAGTATATACGATACAAAACGAAGATCGGTAGTTCAGGGGGTGTTTTCCATACATGTATATATATATATGTATACATATGTATATACCAATGTGTGTATATATATATGTATATATGTGTATGTATATTACCTTTAAGTATAGCATACCATCATACCATTGTATATTCTTGTAACCGGTACCCGGCCTTGAACCTTTCGATATGCCAGCTGCATGTCACCCCCCGGGACGAAGCACCTGGCGATTGTCACGCAAGTCAGTCCTCTTCAGCTAAATATCCAGGAGTGCGAGTACCTTGAGCCATGGTTTGGTCCGTCTGTAAGTCAGGACGGGTTCTGGAGACAACACAGGGAAACAGGCAGCTGCAAAGGGCTGCACCGTAAACGGAGGTGATCCGCTTGGTTCACCCACGCCAAAGTCTCGCAGCCATCGTCCGCGGTTCCTGAGGACTGAGGAAGATCGGCAGCATGCCGCCCGGGGCAACCCAAAATGATCGCATGTGAAGATCTGAGATGAAGAGGCACCAAAGATCCAGGAACCTACACCATGAACGGCTTTTGAAACATGATGCAGGCGCGTCACCGTCACTCAGGAAGGCCCCACGTGCATCCGGCCATTCTCGACCAACTCCACTGCTCAGCTCACCCAATGCGTGCGGAGCCGGGAACAGCCTCAGAGATTTCGGACTGGGCGGCTTCTCTCTCTCTCTCTCTCTTTCTTGCGTCAGACTGGTTGGACGGAAGGGCCCGAAGAGTGTGGCCCTACCTTGAGCGATTCGAAAGCCAACACGGCACCAAAGTGTTGGCTAAACCCTAAACCCTAAACCACGTCGGACAGGCTCGGCCCAGGAGGGACTCTGACGAGAACATGATCACAGAACCGCTTCCGGGCGTTGTCACCAAGCACCAGCCCCCCCCCCTCAGCAAAGCTAATCCTCTTTTCCTTTTGTTTTTGGGGAACCCATAACTTTTCCCTTTTGGGGGGGGAACCCACAAACTAAATTATACCGCACTGCTTGACGAATAAGAGCGCATCGTCAACCTGGACACGACAATGCCTCAAACCCTCAACTTTCTGCTGGGTCGCTTTCCCAATCTCACGAGATGCCGTTCCTCCTGAAAGCGTGGTGTGGTCGTGTAGCTTCTCTAGCACGTCTACAGTTTGCAGCTGGTAAGCAGGACCAACAAGGCCATGAACCGCAAGGATACGGAGTCTCCTGTTGATTGATGCCGTTGGGCATCAAAGGATAGCTTTGAGAGAAGGCCAACGGATAATACCTTCATCAGAAACACGTAAGCAGAATGTAATCCATGGCACTGTCTGCTGGACACAGAGAGAGAGAGAGAGAGAGAGAGAGAGAGAGAGAGAGAGCGAATCGCTGAAAGCAAACTGCTGCACAGGTGCTGGCCCGTCACAGCCTGTGCACTCCGGCGATAATTTAGGCTTGAGGGTGTGACATGGTGTGTGGCTTTTTACTGCGTATTGGAGCATGAATCTCACTCACCGTAAACATGCACGACAATCACACTCCAGAATTGCCTGCCACCTCCTTGTTCTGCTATTTGCATCTGTTAACACTGTGAGGAGTGCGATGCCCACCTTCTGATTCTCCATGCAGCGCACCAGCAGACGCTCCACCTCGCGCCTTTCATCTGTGGAGCATGATGGGGCGAACCTGCTGTTGCAAGCAATCCTCTTTCAGCAACGCGGAAGCTCCAACTCATGCACAGCAGCAAATTATGACATATTGACTCGCGTTGGACCCTTCACGCCTGAGGCCAGAAACATTGCGGCGCATCTCGATCTTCACCCACTGGCATGAGCTTGTTAGCTCCACGCTTGTCCAGCTACCTTGTGTAAAGACAAAAGGAACACAACACCACGCCACCCTTAAGCTCTGCATTGCTCCGCATCGCTTTGCGCTCTTCAATATAATATGTTATAAAGTGCTACAACATATACATACATGTGTATGTGTATATATATATATATATGATATACTATGACATACAATAGTATACGATAACATACGATATGCTTTGAGGCCTCGTGGAGGCTCCCAGGAGGCTTGGAGTGCCTGGAGCTGTCCGTGAACGGCGACGAACAAATCCTGGGCTGCTGTTAGGGAACTTAGTTTAAGCTACCATGATGGGGATATGTAGTTAGGGTTGCTGTTAAGGAACTTAGTTTGAGGTACCATGATGGGGATGTGTAGTAAATGATAGGGTTTTAAGTTACCATGATGGGGATACATAGTAAATAATAGGGTTTAAGTTGCCATGATAAGGAAACCCTACAGTATGACTTACTATGTGTATCCCATCATGGTGGTAAGTTAAACTAAGTTCCTGAACCGCAACCCAGAATCGCGGAAGGTGTCCAGGCACTCTTCGTCCCCGGCAACGAGGCCCGAGGCAGTCCTTAGAGCTGGCACAGTAGGCATTTGATAGGCCCCAAAAGGGAACCCCTTTTTCTTGCCCTGGCTGGTAGGAATAGCAGTACAGCAATGCAGCCCTTTGACTTTTAGGAGTTTAGACTTCCGCACCAGCACAGCTCTACCCTAGGCTCCCTCGTTTTCCAAAGCCTGCCCAAATTTCCCAGCACACAGAAGGCGGCCGAGGGTCTTCTGCCTCCCCACATCTCGGTCGAAAGCTGGCCTCAAACAGACGCCAAGGTGCGTCCCAGAAGAAGTCGCCAAGCTGCGATACTGGAGGTAGAGTTTGGGATTCACCCTCAGGGAAGCCGCCACCAAGCCTTGGACACTCACGTGAGACCCAAACCATCCCTTGAAGGCGTGGCCAAAGACTGCAAAAGAAAAAGCTAAGGCAAGCAACTACGGCAGCCAGCAAGGTCGGGCATGGCTTCAGGGCATGGCCCTTGGCAGGGCAGAGGGCTGAAGGGCAGCTCTCTGCCCAGTCCCGGGAGAGCATCGAAGATCGGCTCCTTCCGCTCCAAGCGCTGCTCCAGTCCGACGAGAAGCTTGCAGCCCTGAATCATTTCGTTCATTACCTCCACCTCGGACACTCCCAAGCTACTCAAACTGTGGATCTGCCACAAATTCCCGGAGATGGCGGAGCTGCTGGAGTCGCAGTGTAAATGCAAGCACTCACACAGCGCCGGCAGCTCGACGGCTTTGGCCAACAAGGGGATTCGCAGCGTCAGCGTCACACGCAGGGCCGCGCCGACGCGAGAAGGACAGGTCGTGAGCCACCCGAGCTTACTTGAAGAGGCGAAGGCTCTGCCAGCCATGGTCGCCGCCTCTGAGACGGCTGACATCGTCTTCGCCATCCGCTCGTAGAGCTCTTTGATCTCAGAGCCTTCCTGCCTTGCAAAGAAGCGATAGTGATCCTCCTCGTTGCACCAGACGAAAACACCAGGAGCATCACACACCATCACCCCGCGGGCATCGGGCCAGTGTCTTCCGAATCCTGCTGCCAACTTCAACTTGGAATCTGGCTCCGTCAAGAGCATCCCCACCTTTCGAAGCCGCTCCTCCTGAAAGGCTGCCATGCCGCCCAAACGTTTCGGCCAACTCTTCGATCCAGCCAGGGGGAGGTACGTTCCGCGCAGGCGGGCCGAGGACAAGAGTTTCTCCACTTCTCGGCGCTCCTCCTTGGAGCAGCTAACAGGCATGCGAATTCCTTCGACATTTCTCCGTGCCTCCAGGACGGCGTAGACCACATAGCTCCCTGAGGGATCTATTTGGTCACTGGAGATCTTGGAGACATCACCATCCAAAGGGTGGGTCGCACCATCCCCGCTGCGCACGGAGCCCTTCAAGCTTAGGCTTGCAACGAGCGGGTCGAAGAATTGATGGAACATGCTGTAGCATTCTGCATCACCAGCAAAGGCCCCAGCTACCTTCACCATCGGGTGCCCTGGGCAGTCTACGCCTGGCTTTATACACTGTGCCAAAGATACACCCATGCTGGTTCGAAGGTCTGCAAGCTGCTCGATCTCTGGCTGTGCCCGCAACACTTCTGTGGCAATGCTGTTATGTTTGCCTAGGTCAGGAAGCGGGAATGCTGCGAAACCGGGCAGTGGATTCTCTCCCAAGCCGGGCTCTGAAGAGAAGTCGATCTCATTCCTGTCGGCATGGTCTGCTTCATCCTGCTTCTGCTCGATGAAATCCGCCAGAAATCCGAGATAATCCTCTGGCTTCCGCTCAAGCAGTTGGGTGAACATCTCCTGCAGAATCCGGTCTTGTTCTGCGCAGCAAGACTACACATGTCTTGAGAAAGTATGGCATTTAGAGCAAAGGACAAGAGGCAGAGACTGCACCCTTTCTCCTGCAGAAAGTGCTGCACCCCACGCTGCTCCATGTACTGCTTTGCTCGCTCCGCGGCGTTTCGGCCACGAGAGGCTCCTGACTTCTCCTGCCATGCCGTCTACTTTCTCTGACGCCGCAGCAGCCAAGCATCATACTCATGATCATTGTCATCAGCCGGTGACTATGTTCAGCGAGTCATGACGACAAAGCCGGCGATGACAATCGCGAAGAATAGCAAAACAACCGAAACCATGAAGCAGACAACGAGATGCCACACAGCAGAACAGCAGCAGGAATAGCAGCATCACACCATCACCGCTACCCATCATATCACAGTGACCCGGAATAAAACCAAACTGGATTTTCAGAAAGTGAAAGGCCTTAACATGGAACATCAAGTAGTAGGATCTCGCCCACAAGGACCCCTAACCAAGGTACAAATACTTCTGACCACAACCGTACGAAAACCCGAGTGAACCTTTAGAACGACCCTCTAAAAATCCTCGTAAGGCCGCTGCAACGTCCTAAACCTTAAGCCCTCCCGGACCCCCGGACCCCTCAGCCTGGTGGTCAAAAGACCGCAGCGACGCTTCGAAGGAGGCCTTCAGTGGCGCGCTGCCAATGTCCAGGGTCTCGATCCTGGGAAGGATAGTGCCCAGGTAACTATCGCATACTACGTTAGTTATGGGGAGGATAATATATAATGCACTTTTACTACATGGCTTTAAACTTTAAAGGTTGTTAGCTAACGCGGTATACTATAACTGTAAGGGCTTGTATGGGGTTATAAACGGACACTATATCACGCAAGGTTCTGGGCTATTGTGACTCATGTATGAGTGAGTGAGTGTGAGCGAGCGAGCGAGCCAGAGAATGAGTGGGTGGGTGGGTGGGGTGGGGTGAATGGGTGGGTGGGTGGGTGGCTGGCTGGCTGGCTGGGTGAATGAAGGTGTGAGTGAGCGAGCTGCAGGCGCAGGGCCGTGCCTGAGGCGCCATCATCCCGGCTTCACAGGAGTTCAGAAGAACGTCATAGCCCCCTGCTGGCAGAGCGCTCCGGGATCCGTAAACGTAATTCCCCGAAAGTGAGCGGGGAAATGAACGGAGGCTCCGCTTCCTCGAACATAAGCAATCCCACACAACCCCACAACATGTGAACCAAGATGGAGCCTGGACCCTCCTCAACAAGACTTCATCCGGCTGACTGGGATGAGGGCCGTGTTGGAGCTTCACAGCCCTTCAACATGCGCAAGCTCGTTGGGGATTCTCACTACTCAGGCGGGCCTTGCAGCCTCTGGCATCAGTCGCTTCATTTGTCACCCCGAGCCTCTTGATTTGGCCGCGGTATCTGGCGCTCCATAGGCAGCCCAATCGACACTCGCCTCACACGTGCTCCCTGGCTGCTGCCCCTCCGTCATCTTCCTCCGTTTGTTCCTTGACTTGCGGCCCGTCTTGGCTCTACCCAGTGACGCGTGCAATCTCATCCTGCGGCGAGCATGCTCCCGGCGAGGGTGCAACAACGAGTTTAGCAAGGCTCGGATCCAACGAGGGTTGCCAACGTGCGCCACGCATGGGAGGAAACTTGTGCTAGGGAATCCCACCTTGCGCACACCGGATGTAGTGCCGATCGACTGCAGGTAGACATGTGCACCTGTTTGCTGCGTGGATCCCTGGGCGACGCGGGATTCACAGCATCCTGCGACGCCGAATCTGAAGGGTTATTGGCTATGGGCTATAGAATACCATAGTTTTTTGGGGGCAATAAGAGCGCTTTGCAGCTTTGAGTTTGGGGTGGCCGGCTGTGTTCACAGCTTAGAGTTTCTCGGCGGCGGATTCCGGGTGTCGGTCGCTTGTAAGCGGCTTGGGGCGTAGTCTCCTTGGGTTTCAAGTCTCGAGTTTGGTGCAGCCTTCACCTTATCAAAAAGAACGTTTCGGGTTTAGGGTTTTGTGTCCTCCCCAGTGAAGTTGCCCAGAACCCTCAACCCCGAACCCTAAGCCCCCCCCCCCATTTTGCTGGGCAAAGCTCTCCACATTGTTCAAGCTTCCTCCGAGAGCAGAGATGCCTGCCAAGCTAACCTGGGAAGATGCCACCTGGCGGAGCTAGCAAGTCGAGGGGATAGTGGCTTCAGGGTAGGGTTTTCCGATGTAGGGTTCCGAGGAAGAACTATGAATCATACTACCAGTCACAGGTTCAACCACCAAGCAGACGACCGGTAAAACAGTCGTAGTATGAAGACGATACCTCATATTGTATGGGACCGAAAGGGCACAACCCCGAACCCTGCACTTAGCGAACCTTTTGGAAGACGTCCACGGTGAAGGCCTTTGGCTGCTTGCCACTTGGCGGAAAGGCAAAGGACTCCCCAGCGCGGAACGGCGCCTGCATTCTAGGAAGACTAGGAAGAGGCTGTTGTCTCGATCAGGTGTGCTGCTTTAGAGGCCTGCATTGGCACGTAGGGGGTTCGCTGCGAGACAGTCAGATCCAAAGAAATTCAAGCAGGTAAGGAAACCTCGAACGGACCCTAACCTAGAGCAACCCCCGTAGGACGAGGCAACCGTTCGAAGTCTTATCAGCTTGCCTTCAAAAATGGCCAGCCAAAAGCCTCTTCAGTCCCTCATCGTGCAGACGAGCGCACCTGCTTTCGGATGTCTCCATATCGAAGCGACAAGAAGGTGTTTGCCTCAAAACATTTGATCTGAAATTGAGAATGATATGCCACATGCCATGGAAGAACAAGCTCACACACCCACACACTGCATCGCCAACGACAGGGACGGTTCTGCCCTCGTCCGGGAGAGCTGCCGGAAGGTCATCTACTTCCAGCACCTTAGATTGTGACAAGCTCGGTACAAGCATTCATGAACTATTTTCCCTGCATCTACACATATTCTACACCACATGAGTGCAAGTCTACCCATCACTCATCGCAGATACAACAACTGTGCTGAGGTGAGCACTTTGATGTCCATGGCCGGTCAACGCAACGCTGTGTTACAGAAGTTTGAAGTTCGGACATGACAGCATACATGCAACCAGCTAGTTAGTTGCCTTTGGTGCTGTCTGCAGTTCCTCGGACTACTTCTTGCTTGCTGATTGAATCGAACAGGCTCGTGCTTCTGCTCCACATATGCAGCAACTATTCCTGGGGCCAATCAGAGAAGCTCAATTGATCTGGCTTCGAGCTCGTGCCAACAGCACTTTGCTGCTTCCTCTCCGCAAGCACACCAGGCCTCATCATCATCATCCATCGTCCCTCGGAACCTTGGGTACTTACCAGTCGGTGCCAGGGTCACAGAGATTTGTGCATGGGTGTGTGTGTGTGTGTGTGTGTGTGTGTGGGTGTGTGGGTGTGTGGGTGTGTGGGTGTGTGGGGGTGTGGGTGTGTGGGGG